GGCAGAGGCAGGGCCCTGCTCACCAAGCGTCCAAAACTGGGAGAACTGGGCCAGAGCTGCGCCCCTCACACAGCCCGCTTCCCTGCCTCGCTTGCCGCGGGCCACGCGCTCCCAGGCAGCTGCCATTGCACACTTAGCTCCGTTGGCAGGTTTCTTTAAGGCTAAGAGGGGTCCTCAATGTTCTTAGTCCCTTGTATAGCGCATCTTATAAAATGAACTCCATAAACGCCTCGGTACCACTGAATTGGCCCGATAGCTTCTGTTTGACTGAGGTATCGTTTTCAAAGAGGCATCCAGCCTTGATTTGAAGATACGTGGTGGGAAAAGCCATTCATTTCCCATATTTTCTTTTCCCTTTTCTGTAACAAATATTTCTCAACCTTTTCAAAACCACTTATTTGGGTGAGAAGATAGAGAAGACGTGGAGCTAAACCCAGCTAAGAAACCTCTACAGAGACACGGGCCCAAAGCAAGGAAGAAACTCGCCACCAGGGGCTCTGGCTGACCTCATCCGATGTGAGGAGTCACCAGCCCTTACAGCAGAGGTGGAGGGAGAGAGAGAAAGAAAAAGAAAAAAAAAAAAAAACAACCCCCACACAGCTCCAAGCTGCACTGTTCATGCCAGGTCTAAACTACAGTAAACATCACTGAATACCAGAAATAGTCTTTACAGGCAAGACTGCCTGGGCCTATGGCCAAACACAGCCTATATTGTGGAATAAAACATCTCTGCTGTTTCAGATGGAGTGGCCTTTGCCCGCACCCTCTGAATTAATGTTGCAGATGATTTTATTGTCAAACAAATCTTTTGTGAGCAGTAAGCCTCAGACAGATGAGCTTCCTGGGAATAAATTTAAAAACCAGCATCAACATACTCTCCTTATTTACTGCCAAGTACCTTCTGGCTGGCAAATATTTTAATGGTGTGTTTATTTGAAAAATGTGTTTCTTGTGGTTGAAGGGAGGAAGGCTCGAAAAGATAGAAATACAGCTCACATGTAGCTGAAGGCAGTAGTGGGAAATAGCGCTTACCTGCTTTCAGCTGTAGCGGCCTGTGCCGGTGTTCAAGTTTCCAGTTGTTACTGGACTGGTATCCCCACCTGCTCCAGTATGCATGAGCTGGCAGCATGACTGAGGAAGAGCTGAACTAAATGCAAAAGAAAAGGAAAACTTTTACTTTCTTATGTACAGGTAATTTCTCCTAATTGGCACATAGGAGCTTTCTGCCAGCTGTGCAAGATGTACCTGTTTTACTGGGTATTCAGGGTCCAAACAGTGGTCTACAAAACATCAATATAATCAGGAAAACCTTGGACCTAAATGTTGTCAAATGAGCACTTTTCACAGATGGTAAAACATTCACAAACATGAAATTTGGCTAGTTTGATGGAAAAAAGTACACACAGAATTGAAGACATCTAATAACTGTTTATAGACTGCGTCTCTAAGCATTTTGGCAGTTAGAAGGAACTAAGGCCGATTCTGTGACTTATAGGAAATGAAATATTTTTATTGGTAGTTATCATTCACCCTCTTCAATGAATAAAAACTGTGTCAAAACAGTGCTGTAATACATGAAACTGGACGCATTACTTTAAGGCAAGAGTGGTAGGCCATGGCTGCTTTAAAATTATGTCCCAAATCCATTCTCCACTTTTTCCTCTCATGTTTTTGCCTTGTTTTTTTCCCTAAGGAACACACATATTGTTGGTTTTCATGGCTGTCTTCCTTGTTTTTCTTAAGTTTCTGAAGTACAACTTTTTTTCCCCCCCCCTTTAAACTACATTATTTGAAATCAGGAGTTTGAAAATTCTAAATGATTTTCAACATTTGGCAGATTGGATGTCTGGCAGATAACTGGTCCTATTTTCTACACACTGTTTACAAACATTGCTTTATTTGGATGAAAGCTTTATCATAAAAATCATTCCAGACTTTTCATGACTTTTCATTACAAAAAAGTAGACAATTCTGTACCTGCAGGTATTTTAGAGATGTTGTAACTCATAGGTGCATTGTTCTGCATGTCCATCACTAACCTGCGAATAGTAACACTGAGGAAAGGGTGAGCTGAACATTCTGCCTGTGCTGAACGTAGACTGTTGCTTGAGAAAACACTAGATTCTTGACGTGTTTTTGCTTAATTTTCTTTTATGTTTAGTGAACATGCTATTAAATGCATATGGGCTGACATAAAACATCTTATATTGTGCATGCTTATAAATCATATCTTATGGTTCCTATTTTTACTAATTAACAGTAGAAGGATTTTGATAACATGTTTAGAAGTTTTTAAGTGAATAAAATCTGTTATTGACATGAACTAAGTATGTAGGTATACATAGATAGGGCCACAACCTTATCAGACTCCAAAAAAGCAAAACAAAACAACCCCCCCCAAATAAACAAAAAACAGAAGAGACTTTGGTTAGACCTTGAGAAAAAAGACTCTATGTAGACCAAGAACGGAGAACCTTTCCAGCCAAGAAGGGAATGTTTTAAGATGTTATAAACAGATATTATAACAAGCAGAGTGTGAAGACTGAAATGGTCACAGGTCTACTTCTGTAACAGGAGCACTGTAAAGTTTTTGCAAGAGCTGGTCTTTATTTTTATAAGGATTGTTACATAATATGCAAGTGGAAAAGTATCCTATCCAAGTGGAAATAAAAGCAAACTGCCTTCAAGATTACATAATAACTCAGCAAAATATGACTCATTAATGTTGTACTTTTATTTGCTGAGTATCTATAAAAGAAAAAAATTTAAAAGAGGTGTGTCAGGAGTACTGTATGATGAAAATCTGGAATTCATTTATTTTACAGTACATTTACATGTCTTTTTACTGTCACAATATCAATTTACAGAATCCTATAGTGCAAGATTAGTTTAGTTATTCCCCTTGGGCTTGATCCTGTCTCTGTCATTCATATGGGGAAAGCAGTACAGTAGGTGAAATGCTGTAGGTTTCCATAAGCCTACTAGTCCAAGGAGTAAGTTAGTACCAAATAAATTTAGGGTTGTCAGCAATTAGTAGGTAAAGAGCATTGCAAAATTTAAAGTCACAGGCTAACAAGCAAACAGCAGAAGGAGGACAATGTACTTAGGAGGCAAATTCTTTTTTTTTTTTTGGTCCAATAAATTTATTACTCTGACACAATTTTAAAAGTCTATGAACTAAACTATTATTTGCAATTGAGTGAGGCATACCAACAATAATGATGTTTTTCTGGTCTGGTTAGCTTCAGCTCTGCACAGGTGCTGTAGAGGAAATACGAGCAGCAACTTAGAGAGGGCCTGAGAGCTAATGGGAAGTCTTCAGGGGCAGGAAGGGAAAAACAGAAAAGGCGCCAGGGTAGGCTGGTGGGGCCAGGTGCAAGGAGAGCAGCAGCAGGGGCTGGGGAGACATGCCAGAGGGAGAAGGCAGCAGCAGCAGTTCAAGGGGATGAGCACTCAGGCATTTAACTCTCTCTTAAGCATCTCTGTGCAGCAGGGCAGACCAAAACGTGGCTTGGA